TCCCCGGGGAGGTGTTTGTGGGTGCAGAGTGACCCCAGCATGGCCCCTGATCCCCCGGGAGGTTTGTGTGGGTGCAGAGTGACCCCAGCATGGCCCGTGGTCCCCAGGGAGGTGTTTGTAGGTGCAGAGTGACCCCAGCATGGCCCGTGGTCCTGGGGAGGTGTGTGTAGGTGCAGAGTGACCCCAGCATGGCCCCTGCTCCCCGGGGAGGTGCTGATGTCCCCTGTCCCCAGGGAAGCCGCGGATCGTGGCCATCAGCTCCCCGCTGTACGTGCGGCCGGACGAGGTGGTCAACCTGACCTGCAAGGCCGTCGCCTACCCCCAGCCCACRGTCCAGTGGAGCATCAACGGCACGGTGAGAGCTGGGAAGGGCCGGGCTGGCACCTCTGAGGGGCTGCCCAGGCTCTGAATCCTGCCCTGCCTGCCCTCCCCAGGCTCGTGAGTACCGGGACAAGCAGCACATCACCAGCAACCTGACGGTGCGGGTGAGCCATGCCCTGCTGCAGGCAGGAGCAAGGTGCCGTGTGTCCAACCACCTGGGGGTCAGCGAGAAGCACATCCAACTGCTGGGTGAGTGTCACCACTGTCCCCTGCCCCGGGAACCCCCACAAGTGTCAGTCCCCCCCGGCCCTGCTGCCCTGCAGTGGCTTAACTCAGTGTCTTTCTCTCCCCTCCCGCTCTTCCAGAGGGTTCCATCAAGAAGGGTGAGTCTGGTGGTGTCACCTCTAGCCTGGGGAGGGAGCTTGGCTGCTGGCTTTGCACGGCTTCTCTGGCTGCTCCTGTCCCTGCCAAGCCGGGAGGGAGGCAGAGGCTTTGTCCCCAGCGGTGGCAATGCTGCCTGCTTGTCCCCAGCCTGCTGCCCCACCTAGGGCAGCTTCTTGTAGCCCAAAGCAGAGGGATGGCCTGGTGCCTTGCAGGAATTCCTGTTATCCACCCTCCTATGGCACATGGCAGCCTGGAGCAGAATTTCCTGCAGAAACTGCCCCAACGGAGCGTTTTTGTGCTGAAATATGCATCCTGCAGGGAGCTGGGCAAGCRCTGGAGCTGTTTTTGGGAGAAGGGRTCCTTYCCTTGYRCACAGGGGAAGCTGGAGGGGATCACAGTGGSACAGGCATTAATTACTTCTTCTCCCATCGTGTTTAGATCAAAAGTCAACAGCAGAGAGCCAAGGGGTGATCATCGTGGCCATCATTGTGGCCATCCTCGTGGTGGCCGTGCTGGGCGCCGTTATCTAYTTCCTGCACAAGAAAGGCAAGATCCCGTGTGGCCGTGCCAGGAAACAGGACATGTAAGCAGTGGCAGCTGCCCCCGCGGGGGCCCGTGGGGCTGGGGGTGCTTGCCATCACTCATGCATCCCATCCATTCCCATCCCATCCCACCCCACCGCACCCTGGCAGAGCGGGGCGGGAGCGCGGCCTCGGGGGCACCGCGCCGGGGGCTCGGCGGCTTTTCCAGCTTCCCACAGGGCACTGCCGTGCAGGGAGGAGACAGCAGAGCGGTAGAGCAGCCAAGGGCCCCTCCCTGGGCAGCCCAAAAATCTCTGTGAGCTGGAGTCTCTCTGACCCCGCTCCTCTGAGCCCCGGCCCCACTGCAGAGCATCCCCCTGAGATGGAGCCACGCGTCCTCCCGGCTGTCTCAAAAATTGTCACCTCCCTCCCGTAGCACAAAGCCAGAGGCCCGTAAAGACAAGATTGTAGTTGAAGTTAAGTCAGATAAACTTTCCGAAGAGGCGGGGCTCCTGCAGGGCGCCAACGGCGAGAAGAGAGCCGCAGCCGAGCAGGTAGGACGGAGCGCCGGGCGCGCCTTGCTAGGCGGGGCTGGAGCGCGGCTCGGCGGGGACGGGGCTGCGTGCAGGTAATGCTTCGCTTTGCTCCCCTTCTCACACCGCCCACCCTGCACGGGCCTCCATCATCCATCGGCAGCGCTCGGGGGCCGTGGGAGGGGACAGAGGAGGGAGGGGACAGACGGAGCCGCCGGGAGCGCGGTGCGCGCTGCCTTCGCTGCTCGGCTCTCCGCCTTCCGTGGAGCAGAGCCACGCTCCCCTYGGGGAGCAGGAAATACATAAAAATCTCTATTCAGGGGTCAGAGCGGAGGCTGCAGGGTGGGTTCTCTGAAGCAGAGTTCTTGGGATAAGTGCTTTCCTCTCACCTGGGATGGAGCAGCTTTTCACGGTGTCACTGCTGGGCCACCATTGTTAGGCAGGGCTTGTCACGCTGGCCACAGGAGCAGCTCCTGAGCCCACTGTGGTTTTATTTGCCACAGGGTGGGTGTTCAGCCACCCTGGGGTGCCCCATCTGTCCCCTACCCCACCTGCAGCCGAGCATTCATTTTGTGTTCATCCCTAACCGTGTCTTTTCCCTCCTCCCTTCCTCTGTTTGGGCGCAACCGAAGAGCGAGAAATACATCGATCTGAGAAACTAGAGAGCGAATCTCCTAAGTGCTTTCTTCCTTCCAACCTTTCCTGCTCTTGGATTGCCTTCTCCCACCCCTGCTGCAGCCCCTGGGGGGCACGGCCAGTGACCACTGGCATTTGGGGGCCACCTCCCTGCCTCACCTGGCCGYCACCTCAGCCCAGGGCTCGCAGGTGTTGCCTTAGCAAAGCTGGACTCGCTTTACTACTCCAGAGAAGCCACAGCAATATTAGGAAGAACTACCCCATTAATCCCTACTTGGTGGAAGGATTTGAGGCTCTTTCAGGTAATCTGTTCTGTACACGGCGTGGGAAGGTTTTGATGCGTTTTTTTTTACCCTGAACTTGCTCAGAGGGGCTGGTGAGATTTTGGGATGTTTTTTGGGATGTGCCAGGCACYTTGGCTGCAGTGGTGTGCAGGTTGAAGAAGAGTGGAAAGGGTGTGAGTTAGAGAGGGTGTTTGCAGCTTCTGAGAGGGTTTTTAATGCTTTGCTTTCCCTTTGAGCTGTTCCTGTGTCAGTTTAGCYCAGTGGTGGGAGGAGAGGAGCTGGCAGAGCCAGGAAGGGGCAGCAATCTCCAGAAAAGCTTTTGGATGTCCGGTTTGGAGCTGTGCTGAGCTGAGGGGCAGGGCTCCCCTCTCCYCTCTGAATTGGGTTTATTTTTGGGGTGCTGCAGCAGCAGGTCCCAGAGTTCCCCCCAATTTCCAGTTGACATTAGACAGAGCCAGTCAGTGACGTCTCAGGGTTTTTTTTTGTGCTCAACCATTGCCAGCCCCAGGTCAAACCCCTCTCTGTGCTTCGGTGGCCCCACTCTGGGCAGGGGAGACGGGCAAGAACCCACCTTGAGCTTCTGTCCCAGCCCCTTCTGCCTCGAAATTGCGTCCTCTGAGCTCTGCTGGCCACAAATCTCYGTCCCCTGGGTGTCCCAGCGCTGTCCCCAGCGCAGCCCTAACCAGAGGGGAACCGTCCCTGCCTGCTACACGTGGTGTCCGAGCAAAAGCTTTGGTTTATATATATTTTTGTTGGATTGTGTGTACATTTCCAGGAGTTTTGTTGTCGTTTTTTTTTTCTTTTTGTCCGATACTTGCGAGGTTTTTGGTTTTTTTTTTTTATATATGTGAAAATAAAGTACGGATTCAAAGCTGAGTGGTGGAGTTTTGTTCCCAGGGGCAGAAGGGTGGGAAGGGCTTTCCATAATCCCATTTCTACCCCTCCATAATCCCATTTCTACCCCTCCATAATCTCATTTCTACCCCTCCATAATCCCATTTCTACCCCTCCAAAATCCCATTTCTACCCCTCCATAATCCCATTTATATCCCTGTGGCTGCTAATAATGCAGCTAATTACTACCAATACTAATAAATCTGTTTATTCAAATTAATAATCATGGTTTTAGGTTGTAATAGGTGATTATACTACAGGACCCTAGAAGATAATGTTGTCAAGAGAATTTAATGGATCCCAAAAACAGAATTTGTTGGTAATTGTGTTAATAGTTAAAACCAATATTACAGATGCTGGTGCGTACAGGAAATGATAATAAACACCAATAAATGAATACTATGAATTAAAAATAAGTTAAAAAAATAAATAAAAATAAATAAAAAAAGCTCAAAGCAGGCCCTGTCACTACCCTGACAGGACAGAGGGCAATGACCTCAAGTAACCCCTGTGACCTCAAATAACCCCTGTGACCTCAAGTAACCCCGATCAGGGTCTCAAATGACCTCAAGTGACCCCAAATGACCTTAAGTAACCCCAAATCAGGGTCTCAAATGACCTAAAGTAACCCCAAATAAATTCGTTCTGAAACTCAAATGACCTCAAGTAACCCCTGTGACCTCAAATAACCCCTATGACCTCAAATAACCCCAATTGGGGTCTCAAATGACCTCAAATAACCCCTATGACCTCAAGTGACCCCAAATCAGGGTCTCAAATGACCTCAATGATCTCATTTGACCCCACAGTGGCTTCTTTGAGGGGTTTTATTCAACTTCAGTTGATCCCCAAGTCCCCATTTCCCCTCCCTGACTCGTTTGTGGGTTCCCCTGACCCCTGTGACCCCAATGTCCCCCTCTGTCCCCCCGTGGTGTCCCTTGGCCCCCAAATGTCCTGGGGGTCAGCAGGGCCTGTCCCTGTTTGAGTCTGTTCCACTTCTGGGCCCTTCCAGGCTCTGCAATGTTGGGAATGTGGCACAGCCTGGATTTATGAAATCTACTTTATATGCAAAATATCCACATATTGATATATATGAATATATACCCATGGATAGTCAATATATTCATATATTCAAATATAATTATTTCATGCCTATTAATAACATATTCCTATTACATATCAATACAGAATATATTCAAATAATTCTATTCTAGAATTGTGATATATATGTGTGTATATATACATGTGTAATTCTAGAACTGTGTGATTATTTATATATTTTTATTTATTTATTTATTTCTAGAATTGCTATGCAATAACTATAAAGGTCTCCAGAATAATTCCTTTGGATTCTCGTCCTGGGTGGTGACTTCCTGTCTTTCTCAGTCCTGATGGATTAGAGCCTTTATTTCTTGCTTCAGAATATGTTTAATTATTATAAACTTTGTATAAATCTTCCCTTGTCAGTACTCACAATATAAACTTGGATTTACCAGGTAATTGTGGTAATAATTACAAAATACCTCCCAAGTCAGTCAGCAAAAAAAATTTAAATCCTAAAATATTTTTTTCCAGCAATCACAGAAGAACCACACCACACACAAACCATATGCTACAACAAAGGAAATTTTATTTAAAAATAAAACTTTGTTTTGTTTTCTTTCTTACTGACACAGGTGAATGAAATCCCAAACAAAGAAGCTCTTAGTGGGCAGCATACAAGGATGGAAACAATTAATAAATAACATTAGTATAACCTCTAAACATTAACAATGCATCGCAAACAAAATGAGGACTTTAAACCAAGTGAACCTTAAAGCTCAGCTACTCTCTGTAAGAATATTTACCTTCTGTTTTTCCTTATTCTTTACAGATCTGAAAGGATTAAATACTGCTATTATAATTTTATATTAATGACACTATTATACTTTCTTTTTTTAAAATATTTTGTGAAAATCTCAACATTTTTTTTTTTTAACACTGATATTTTACAAATTGGTATTTGTCATCYGTGAGAAAGAACAACAGTAACAGCAGTTCCTCCTCCGCCGGGAATTTCAAACAGAAGATTTCTAGGAGGAACTTTAAAAATAAATGTCCTTATTCCCCGCTAATTTTTAAAGTGGCACCTTTGAGAAGGTAACCTGGGAGTTGCATTTTTTCTTGCTCAACTGGAAAAAAAAAACCCAAAAAAACCAAAACCACACAGACAGCAATGAGCCTGCCTCAGGATTAGCTACAGTAATGTCACCACATGCGGGGTCAGAGCCTGCCTGGCCTGAGGGACATGCACAAAGCAGGGAAAGATTGGGGATTCCTGCTCAGGAGGGCACCTCCCGCTCCCCACAGCTCCTGCTCTTTTTTTTTGGGAGTGTTTCCTGCTCTTTTGGGGAAATCCAGCACTTTWGAYCCCAAGCAARCCCGTGCTMCAATCCTGACTYMACCCCGAGCTCAGCACAGMACCAGTGCAGACACRGCACCTCCACAGCTGAAATGCTACAGAACACAGTGTCAGAGTCCAAGTGACAATTGCCCATCTCTCCTGCTCCTCCTTTTCACCCCTTGCCAAAGCAGTTTTGTGCTCAAAGGCATYTCTGCTGCTTGTCCAGCTCCGTTCATTTTCCCACAGGGGCGGATTCTCRGATCCAGCCTGGCCAAGCAGAATTCCCTAAAGAAAGGCACTAGACATTTGGGTTGTTTTTTTCCTTTTTAGAGTAGCATCAGAAAGTTCATTTTCTTAAGAATAAAGAAGGAGGAGGTGAAGGGAAAGAAGAGCAATCAATCTTGGGCTTAGAAAGAACAAGAAAAATCCACGGTGCGGTGCCTGGATTGACCTGGCAGAGCCTGACCACAARACATGGCCAGGACTCTGCTGCACTCAGTGGAATCAGCAAATTCTTAACGTGTCTAAGGAAGAAAAGGCAAGACTTAAGTTTCTTAAATCAGTTTGAGACATAAACAAGTGCACAGAAAGGACACATGCAGAGAAATCAGCGATACATGCCACAAAGATTGCTCTGTCTAATCTCTAATACCCRGAACAACACCCACAGGAACGTCTCTTGGCACATAAACCCCAAAGACAGGCCTGGGACAGCTCTGCCAGGCAGGATTTCATTGAAATGACAGCCAGCCTGCCACGAGGGGCTTGGAGGGGACAGGGCATCACTGGGCAGGCCACACACACTGGGCAGGACAAGAGTTAAGGCTTTGGAGCTGGCTGGACTCAGCTCTGCTCAGCCCTGGTGACAGTCACATGGCACCTGAACACACCGAGGGGCTCCAGAGCCACACAGAGCCCGTGGGAGTGTGAGAAAGAGGGAAACAAAACCCTCCCAACAGGGTTTCCAGCTGGATCTGCAGGACAAGGAACTGCTCAGGCTCAGCAGTGTGACAGAACAGCAGCAGCAGCATGGCCTGGCTGCTCCAGAGCTCCCAGAGCCATGGCAGCACATCCCACAGGGAGCAGGGCTGGCACAGCAGCTCTTCTTCCCCTTCTTCTTCCCCAGACACTGAACCCACCTTGCCCAGGGCTCCTGGGGGCTGTGCCTGAGCCCTGCACCCTGCAGAGCACCCTGGCCACTGCCAGCCCTGTGAGCCCTGCACCCTGCAGAGCACCCTGGCCACTGCCAGCCCTGGCCAGTGCCAGCCCTGACCCCAAAACAGCAAAGGGTGGTGGCCTCTGAGYGTGGCAGGAGATCTCCTCAGGCTTTCTGAGTGTTTTCTTCACTACAGAAAGGAGGGGAGTAAAGAGAGACAGTTCAGCCTGCCTGGAAGCCACTGCAGCAATTCATAAAGCTGAAGGTCTAGAGAGAAACCTCTACTTAAATTAAAAAAAAAACACTTTATGCTCTGCTAACACTTGTGAAGGCCTCTCTGCCAACTGCAGCCATCTGGCCCAGCCTCTGGATTCCTCAAAAGGCCAAACTGCACCCAACCACTCCAGCAAAATTCCAAACTGCAGCCCTTGGCCTGGTGACCTCTGCTGACCTCAGGGAGGTGCAAATAATGCTGGACATGCTCCAAAGGCCAAGAGCCTCTCAGGCTGTCAGGCTGTGATCTGTCTGTGCCTCTCCAAAGGAACCATCCACTCCTCCAATAYTAACACAGTTAAGTAGCTGAGCAGGCAAGTCTGGTTTTTCCAATGTGACAGCTGAGTTCTGACCTTTAAAGCCACGTGATCATTTCACAAATACAGAATTTTCCCCCCAGGTCTGTTTTAACGGCAGACCTGGCAATACCTCAGAGAAATGGAAATGGAAAGGAGAGCCCCCATGTTGTTTTGACAGCCATGCAGAGAACTGCTGCACTTCTTTGACTGCAAAGCAGGTGAGATACCAACAAACACATCAGCTGCATCTACCAATTCCACAAAACACCCTGGCAYGACGATGGCTCCTGCAAAAGCTCTCTGGAGGAGGTGATGGAATGGGTGTGAAGGCCACTAGTCTGCAACAGCCACCATGCAACGAAGATAAATTAAACATCCTATTTACCAGGTGCAACATTCCTAGGGAAGAGCAATGGGAGTGTCCAGTGACACTGGGCYCCTCCAGCCCAGCAGGGCCACAATCAAGTTTGAGCACTGAAGCACGAAATGCTCAAGGCAAAAAGAGGAGAAGCAGCAGCCCCAGTTCTTTGCTCTTGCTCAAATTCTGTCCCTCCTCTTCCACCCCTCAGAACCACACCGAGCTCCTCCAGCTGCTGGAATCTGGTGCTGCCAGTGCCAGAGCACAAACACACGAGAGAAATCCAACTCACAGCACTGCCAGGATCCAAATCCCTGACAGAAGCTCATCCTGCCATCTCCAGGCAGCGAGGGAGGACYGGAATCAGAAGCAATAACTGCTATTATTACAGGCAAGAGGGGCACCCCACGGCCAACAGGAAGCAATCAAAYGATTCTTCCAAGGTCTCCTATGAATTTCCAGCAGAAAGTGACCTCCCAGCTGCTCTAAAAAGCCTGAGCCGACACACAGCAG